CTGAATGTTTGGGTGTGTTTTTGAGCAGAAACTCATGTGGTGTGAGGGTATGTAGTGTGTGTGTCATTTAGTTTATGTATGGTTGTGATTTTGTGTCTCATTTCATGTACGTTATATGTGTGTATGAGGCTAACAATGAAATGGGTGGTGTGAGAAGTGCATTGTACCATTGTTTCTAAACTCTGTAGGTGAGTTTGTGTATGAATGTGTGTTCATCTGTAGGTGTATCTGTAACTGTGTCACTGTCCCATTTGTCTTAAATTTTAAGATTTTGTTTGTGAATGAAAGGCCTGTGTATGTGTGTGAATATATGTGCTTTTCCACCTACAAAGGGGGATGTGACTGAGGGGGAAACTTGATGTGAGGGTTTATGTACAGGATTTTGTATGTGCCTGAAGTTGTCTCCCAAGGGGTGTTTGTGTGTGTGTAATTTTATCAGAGTGACCAGTACCTGCATGCCATGTGACACTGGGTGTCATCTGTCAAGTACTGACAGTGCCTGATCATATGTGTGTGTGTGAGTCTGTTGGTGTTTGAATCTATGTGAGTTATGGGGATATGCGACCATCATTTGGGATCAAGGTTTTTGTTAGAAGAGGTGTTTTGCTGTGTCTTGGATTTCATTGATCCCTAAGAGTATGGGTGGGACTGTGTAGCTGACAGGCCCATGGCTAGTGTAAACTGGAGGCTGCAGGCAGAATGGTTAAGAGCATGCAGTCTATACTCTGTACTCACTAGAAAGAAGTGCTGGGAGGGCAAGGATTTTTCCTATTTTCTTCAGTGTTGTATCTCCAGTGCCTAGAACTGTTCCAGGTATCCACTAGGCATTCTGTCAATTCTTGTGGAATAAGCGAGTGGGTTCTAATTCTATCTCTGCTCTTCTTAGCTGTGTGACCTAGGACAGGTTGCCTAATCTCTCTATACCTCAGTTTCCTTGGTAATTAACTAGTATAATGCTTCTCACTTCCACCTCATTCTGTTGGCCAATACAAGTTGTGTGTCTAAACCCAGAGTCAAGAGGTGGGGAAACACACCACCCCCAGAGTGTGAGGCCACTGCAGAGATACACAGCCAAGGCCATGGATACAGGGACATGAAAAATGGAGGGCCTTTAATGCCATCTATTGCATTAACTAACTTGTATTATGCTCAACACTTCTACAGATGGACTCAGTTCTTATCCTCATTTTTCAAATGAGGAAACATGCTCAAAGAGAGGTCACAGAACATTTCCAGGGTCACACAGCTGGTTCTAACTTAGGGTCTCTCATGATGCTGCAGTCATCTGAAGGCTTGACTGGGTCTGGAAGATACACTCCATGGTGGCTGATCCATGGGTATTGGGAGGAGGCCTTAGTTCTTCCCATGTGGCCTCTCTAGAGAGCTGCTTCAGCATCCTTACGTGCTAGCTGACTTCCCCCAAAGGGAGGGATTCAATAGAGAACAAGGAGGAAGCCACAATGCTTAACACTTTAGTCTTAAAGTCACACACTATCATTTCACCTCATTTTGTTGGTTAGAAGTGAATCACTAAGTATAACTCACTAAAAAAGAGGGGGATTGGACTCCATCTCTTGAAGGGAGTATCAAAGAATTTGCAGCTATATTGAAAACCACCACAAGATGGCGCCTGCATCTCAGTGGCTAGAGGGCCAGCCACATATACCGGAGCAGGTGGGTTCGAACCCAGCCCAGGCCTTCCAAACAACAATGACAATTACAACAAAAAAAACAGCTGGGCATTGTGGCAGGTGTCTGTATTCCCAGCTATTTGGAGGCTGAGGCAAGGGACTTGCTTGAGCCCAAGAGTTTGAGGTTGCTGTGAGCTGTGATGCTACAGCACTCTTCTCGAGGGTAACATAGTGAGACTGTCTCAAAAACAAACAAACAAATCCACCACAAAAGTAACCTTTTTTGAGAATTTCCTGTGTGCACCACACATGCTAACAGTCCTAAGTGCTTCACTTATATTAAATCATTGAGTCATTACCAAACATCCTATGAGGTGTGCATTCCATTGTAACTTAGTGGAATTTAGCATTTAGTCTGCCTTCCACATTCTTCATTCCCTGACTACTAGTTCCCTGTAGTCCTTAGCACCACCTAATTTGCTAAGTTTTACATGTTAATTTGCTTGTTATCATTCTTCTACTAGAATGTGGGTTTCAAAGGGCAGAGGTTTTTATATCCCCAGTGCCTAGAAAGGTGCCTGGCATAAGAAGGTGCTTGATAAATATTGGTCAGCTTGAATGCATCATCATTTATTTTTCTGTAGAATCCCATGGGGCTGGAACAGAGACAAGATTCCATGGGGTCTAACCCTTGGACTACTATGTGCAGCCTAGTCCATGCTCAGGTGAATCCTGAACCCACCTTGACCTTTTGTTTTCCTTTTGACTCCTTCCCCAACCCACACCACCACCTTTCCACATAGCCACTTGAGGGGCTGGTCATGCGATGAACTTCAGAAACTGATCATGTTCTGGGATATGGCAATGAGTGGGGGCGACTGATTCCTAGCTAGGAGGCCATGTATTGGGGCATCATGCTGGAGAACTACAGGAATCTTGTCTTACTAGGTAAAGGCAGTGATTTTCCTGCCGACTCAGATACCACCTCACTGTGTAAAAGTCAAGAAGTATCAGGAATATTAGCACTTTCCTCCATCCCCATCTGTGGCCTTTTGACCCTTTTCCCCTCAAGCTTCTACCTAGCTGGATGGAAATAAATTAAGGGGTAACTGGGATTTCAGCCTTGGATGGATCTAGGAGCTCAAGTGATACTTTCTGGTCGTAGTCCTCATTCTTACAGGCTCTTGCCCTGTTTCTTAGCTTTACTCCCAAGCTAGTCCTTTCTACTTCTGGCAGCTCTGGCCTTTGAGGATGCTTTCAACCAGCAGCCCCTGCAAGGTAGAAGATTCTCTCTCTCCAGTAGTTCTAACATATGTCTCAGATCTTTTCTCTGAGCCAATCACTGAGGCCAGGGGATGGGACTTTTCTGTTGGCCAAACCTGAGTTGCCAATTATTGGTAGCTGACACCTTCTGAAGACTTGTTGTATGTTACTGTGTGGCTGGGGATGGAGGGAGGGGAAGAGGGGTGCCCACAAAGAGCATACTGTGGACATCTCTGCTCAACTTTGTCTTGTTTCTTTCTCTACTTCTATTTGTCTACCTCTCATTCTGTCTCCATCTCTGTGATAGAGTGGACTGCCCTTATGTCAGAATTCTTTAAAGTTATTTCTATCACAAACCATGGTAAAAAGTCCATTTTACTTCCCAGCCCACTACCTGTAGTAAATACATGTCTCAAAGAACTGAATTAAATTTTTCCAAAACAATACTTAGCCTCATTACATGCAGTGCACTCTGATATTTTTCTATTCAAATCCATTCTATTTCATTTCTAAAAAAAAATTACATCACAACTTAATGGTCTCAACTGGGAGTGACTATCCCTCAGGGAACATGTTGCAATGTCTGGAGACATTTTTGGTTGTCACAGATGAAAGGATTGCTATTGGCATCTACTGAATAAAAGCCAGAGATGCTGCTCAGCATCCTACAATGCACAGACAGCCCCCCACAACAAAAGACTACTTTGCCCCAAATATCAGTAGCGTCAAGGTGGAGAAACTGATTTCAAACTGGTTTCATGACTCACTGCCAAAAGTTGAACATTCATGCAACTCTTAAAACCCAGCTGTGAAGTAGTGAGGGCCCATCTTGGCACATACAGACTTCCTGGGCCCTATATTCTGATTTACTCATTTAACTCATTTTCCTGTCTGCCTTCATCAAGTTCTCATCCTTTAAGATAAACTGGAGTCATCCTCCATGTTTTTCTTCTCTGTGGGCCAATCCTTATTTCCAAAATCTTGTAATCTCCGCATGCCTTCCCTTTTCCCAGCCTGTACCCCCATGTCCAGCCCTACCATGGAGGGGTGTATCAGTCAAGGTTCTTCAGAGAATACAACCAATATGCTTTATACATGACCAGATTTATTTTAAGAAATGGCTCAAACAGTTGTGGGGACTGGAAAGTTTAGGATAGGTAGTTGGCTAGCAGGCTGGAAACTCAGGCAGGAGTTGATTCTGCATTCTTGAGATAGAATTTCTTCCTCTCTGGGAAATCTTGGTGTTTGTTCTTAATTATTTTGACTGATTAGATGATGCCCATCCATATTATTAAGGATAATCTTCTTTGCTGTCATTTGGTCGTTGATGTTAACCACCTACTGAATACATTCCCTAAACCACCTGGTTTAGTGTTTATTTGAATCGCTGGGCACGAGAGCCCGACCACCGTGACACATAAGACAAACCATCTAATCGAGGAGCCTCTTCGTTATCAGTGTCTTATATCTTAAAAGAATTTGCATTTTTGAAAATTTTCACTCAGACTAAGACACCAGAACAGAACACCTTCAAAGCAAAACATCTCTTAAGAGTAACCCCCTAAAATTGGGCCCAACAGGAATGATTTGGGACTTGAACTTCATAAAGACCCACAGAGGCAAAAGGTGCTCAGAAACACCAATCTTACTGAAATCTTGGAGCTGCTTTACAAAAAAAGGCTACAGATCTGAAGAAGAGAGGGCCCTCAGCTCCAAATTCTTTTACTAAGTACCAGCAAATCTACACAGGGGAGAGACCCTGTACATTTGCTGAGTGTGGGTAGGGCCTTCAGGCATAGGACGAATCTTATTCAGCATCAGAGTATTCTTTCTTTTTCTTTTTTATTTAGAGACAAGAGTTTCACTTTGTCACCCTCGGTAGAGTGCTATGGCATCACAGCTCACGGCAACCTCCAGCTCCTGGGCTTAGGTGATTCTCTTGCCTCAACCTCCCGAGTACAACAGGTGCCTGCCACAATGCCCAGCTATTTTTTTTTGTTGCAGTTTGGCTCGGGCCAGGTTCGAACCTGCCACCCTCGGTATACGGGGTCAGCACCCTACTCACTGAGCCACAGGTGCCACCTAGAGTATTCATTTTTGAGAGAGACCATACAGGTGTGAGGACTGTGCCAAAGCCTTTAGGTGGAGCTTGTCCTTCAGGCAACATCAGATCATCCACACTGAGAAACCTTTTCTCTGTGATGTATGTAAGAAATCCTTCAGCAAATGCTCAGCCCTCATCTCCTATGAGAGAATTCACACTGGCAAGAAACCACATTGGTGTAATGAGTGTGGGAAGTCTTGTAGCAACCAGTCATTCTTAACTCAACACCAAAGGATCTACACTGGGGGAAAACTTTATGAATGCAGTGAGTGTGGAAAGGCCTTCAGCTGGGCCTCATCCTTTACTTTCCATTGGGGAATTCATACGTGCAAGTAACCTCGTGAGTGCCCTCACTGTAGAAAACCCTTCCAGTACAGGTTGTCTCTTGTGGAATATAAGAAAGTCCACATGGGAGAGAAACCCTACAAATGTAGTGACTGTGGTAAGACTTTCAGCTATAGCCTTTCCATCCGCCTCCATCAGAGACACTCACTCTGGGGGGAATCCCTGTAAATGTAAGTAACGTGGGGACACTTTCAGATATTGCTCCTAACTAAGCAGCAACAGATCCACCACGTCAAGACACCCTATGAGTGTAAGGAATTTCTGAAAGTCCTTAGTCTAGAGTTCATCTCTGAAAGTATATCACAGTATCCATGCTGGAGAGAAATCTAGATACAGTCAGTTTAAGGAATCCTTTCGTGGCAGCTAACTTAAAACTTCTTACTAAAACTTATACATATGGAACCTTCAGATTATATTCATTTGTTGTGGTGATATATGTCAGGAATCCCTAAGACCACACCCCAAGATTGAATGACTTTAGAATGACTGACATCAGCGTAAGTGGTATGCCCAGGTATGATGTATCACAGCACAAAGACTCAAAGCAGAATCAGCAAAGGGAAAGGGCACATGGCAGCAAAGTTTGAGGGAAAACAGGTTCAAGCTCCCAGGAGTCCTCTACCAGGGGAGTCACACAGCATGTCTTAAATCATATGGTAACACATTTGAAATGCTGTGTACCAGGGAAGCTCATTAAAGACAAAGTGTTCAGGGTTTTTACTGGGAGGTGGTTACATAGGCAACCTCTGCCCAACACGTATCAAAACTCCAGACTTCTAGAAGGAAAGTAGGTTTCAGCAGAAACCGTATCCTAGCACTTCAGAAAGTTGAGGTGAAAGGATCACTTAAGGCCAGGAATTTGAGAACAGCTTGAGCAAGAGTGAGACCCTGTCTCTACAAAAAAAAAAAAAAAAAAAAAAAACAGAAAAATTATCCAGGTGTGGCAGTGGGCACCTATAGTCTCAGCTACTTAGGAGGCTGAGGCAAGAGGATCTCTTGAACCCAGGAGTTTGAGGATGTACTGAGATGTGATCAGGCCACTATATTCCTGGGTGACAGAGTGAAACCCTGTCTCAAAAAAAAAAAGGGGGGGAGGCACCTGTGGCTCAAGGAGTGGGGCACTGGCCCCATATACGGGGGTGGTGAGATCAAGCCTGGCCCCGGCTAAAACTATAAAAAAAAAAAGATAATCAAAAGGCTTGTTTTTAATTAATAAATTTTCATCTGGATTAACAAAGATATGTATATTTTCACACAAATATGCACATATATCCATACACACCTTAGGATATAATGATGGAAGGCATTAGATATACAGTTGTAAAAATTAGAAGCTTACTAGAAAATGTTTGTCCTCCTTAAAAATCAAATAAATGCAATTAAAATGAGATGTCCTTTCTCCTATTAAATTAGCAAAGGTAAAACTGCTCTTATATTTCATAATGCCAGCTGGGGAGGTGGAACACACATCCCCACATCACCAGCAGTGGTGTAAAGTGGTTTCCAAAAGGAGCTTGAGGCTGGATGTGCTGGCTCACACCTGTAATCCTGGCACTCTGGGAGGCTGAGGTGGGTGGATTGCTTGAGCTCTAGAGTTCGAGATCAGCCTGAGCAAGAGCGAAACTCCATCCCTAAAAATATATGGGTGTTATGGCAGGCACCTGTAGTCTCAGCTACTCAGGAAGCTAAGGCAAGAGAATTGCTTGAGCCTGAAAGTTTAGTGTTGCTGTGAGCTATGACACCAGGGCACTCTCCTGAGGGTGACAAAGTGAGACTCTGTCTTAAAGTAAATAAATAAATAAATATCCAAACAGAGTAAGGACCACATATACAAAGCACTGAGTATGCCATGCAGCTATACAAGGGAGTGATATAAGCAGTTGTGTAAAGCGTAAGATTGGGTGGAAAAATAAAGTATGTTTTATTGTATTAAACACATGGAATGGTCACAGCTCTGTGACATCTGTGACCCTGAAATAGGTAACACAGTCACCTGGGAAAAAAGTGAACAGGCACAGACCATGAAAATGAGATTTTTTTCTGACCACTCCCCAGAGGTAACCACCTTCACAAGTCTGGTTAATAATTTTGAATTGTAAGAAAACACACCCAATTGCTAGGGTTCATGGTGTATTTTTCTCTGTCCTGGGGGCAGGCAGAGGGAATGTGACCTTGTACACTTCTGTAAAACAGAAGTTGTCTTTAATAAGCCAAATATTACTTTAAAATGAAAAACATTAACCATTCTGAAATGCATAGTTTCAGAAAAGGAAAGTAAATTCAAACAAATCAGTAAGAAAAAGTGAGAAGATGAAGAAGCTAAAGAAGTAAAGGGCCTAGATAATACACAAAGAAGTTCTTTAAATGGTGGAGGAAAAATACACTAGCCAGAGAAAAACAAAACAACAACCCTTCCCCCACTTCTTTGCTTATCAAATAAACAAAATTGTTTTTTGTTTTTTGTTTTTTGAGACAGAGTTTCACTGTGTCACCCTTGGTAGAGTGCTGTAGCGTCACAGCTCACAGCAACCTCAAACTCTTCGGCTTAAGTGATTCTCTTGCCTCAGCCTCCCAAGTAGCTGGGACTATAGGTGCCTGCCACAATGCCCAGCTATTTTTTGTTGCAGTTGTCATTGTTGTCTAGCTGGGCCCGGGCTGAGTTCAAACCCGACAGCCTCAGTGTATGTGGCCAGTGCTATAATCACAGTGCTATGGGCAACAAGCCTGTTTTTTTGTTTTGTTTAAGTGATAAACACTCAATATTGGCAAAGTGATTCAGAGTGTTTGTTTATATTAATTATACTGTGCAGGGCAATGACATTCACTTGCACATAGAGACTTTGCTTAGCATTATCTTGTCAGCTTGGGGTGCTGTATTGAGAAGTCTAACCCTGGGGCAAATTCATGGGAGACAGCATAAGTGGTTAGCAACACTGGTTGGTCACTTCCAAGGGAAGACAATTTGCCATCTTTTGGCTTTTTTTATTAAAGGCTACTTTTTAGTGGGGGTTGTTTGATAATTTCTCTTGCTGATTTGCTTGAGTTTTTTTGTAGATTGTGGTTATTCGCCCTTTTCCAAATGTATAGTATGCAAATATTTTCTTCCATTCTGTAGGTGGTCTATTTTTTTTTTTTGTAGAGACCGAGTCTCACTTTATTGCCCTCGGTAGAGTGCTGTGGCATCACACAGCTCACAGCAACCTCCAACTCCTGGGCTTAGGCGATTCTCCTGCCTCAGCCGCCTGAGTAGCTGGGACTACAGGTACCTGCCACATTGCCCATCTATTTTTTTTGTTGTTGCAATTTGGCCAGGGCCAGTATATGGGGCCAGCACCCTGCTCACTGAGCCACAGGTGCCATTGACAATTTGCCATCTATTTGATAGCCCTGAGTCCTCTCTTTACTGGGGGCTGCAAATGGAACAGCCCCTCCAGAAAAAATTCAGCAGGATTTTTTGAGAGCTATGGAAATGTTCATCACATTTCATCTAGTAATATCATTTTTAAAAAATATATCCTAAGTGGGCAGCACCTGAGGCTCAAAGGAGTAGGGCACCGGCCCCATATGCCGGAGGTGGCGGGTTCAAACCCAGCCCCAGCCAAAAATTGCAAAAAAAAAAAATTGTTTTATATATGTATACATATATATATCCTAAGAAAACAACAATAAATACAGTACATTATACTCTTTTAATAAAACTTTTCTATAATTACAGTTATTAAAAATTGCCACTACAAAATAAATGAGAAAAGGAGAACTTCAAATTTGTGATATAGGTATGTTATAAAAAACTCTATACATAGAAAAATTATTTGTAGAAAGAATGCTACAATATGATTAAAACATGGTTACATAATGATGTGTAATTATAGTTTACAACTCTGTAGTTTACAGTCACAATAAAACTTTTTTTTTTTTTGGAGACACAGTTTTATTTTGTCACCCTTGGTAGAGGGCTGTGGCATCATAGCTCACAGCAACCTCAAACTCTCGGGCTCAAGTGCTTCTCTTGCCTCAGCCTCCTGAGGAGCTGGGCCTACAGGTACCAGCCACAACATCTGGCTATTTTTAGAGATGGGGGTCTCACTCTTGCTCAGGTTGGTCTCAAACCCATGAGCTCAGACAATCCATCTGCCTCAGTCTCCCAGAGTGCCAAGATTACAGGCATGAGCCACTCTAACAACACTTAAAAAAAAAAATTTTACAATCTTATACAAAAATATTCCATAATAACAGCCACTGATTGAGCACCCACTAAGTACCAGCCACTGTTAGGATCGTGGTCGTGAGCCACAGGAACTGTATTAAAGGGCCGTGGCATTAGGAAGATTGAGAACCACTGCTATAAATGAACTCTAGGCCTTTCAACACTTCTTCCAGGGGAGGTGCTGTTATCCTGTTTCCTAAGAAAATGAGGTTTAATCAGCTTCTAAATAGAGGGCTGAGGTTTGACCTCAGGTCTGCCTGGCTCCAAAGCCCACACTCTTCCTTCTCTGCCAAGGGGGTCTTCTAACTGTGAACATAATTACATTCCTGGGCTTGTAATACTTTGAGTATCTAGTACTATTAGGAATTTTATTAGACTTCGCTTTCCAAAATTTTCTTACTTGTTTAGTGTAGAAACCATACCCAATAAAACTATGTTAAAATCAGGGTTCAAACAAACTACTTTAATTCATGTGTGGCTCTTTTTAGGCCTGACTTGGGATCTGTTATTTCCTATTCATGTAAATTCTTCAAGGAGAAGGGAATTGTGGGAGAGAGTTGAATAGTTTATAGACCTTGCCTAGAGAAAAAAAATCACAACTTTTAGACCCTGCTGAAATGAGGCTAGGAGTGTTTCCAAAGCCTTTAAAATATATATTTTTGGCCCAGAAATTCCACTGCTGAGAATTTCCCCTTAGGAAACAAGACAATATGCAAAGACTTTAGAGTGAATCAGTAAGTAAATTGCTAAAGCCAAGAGATAAAGGGGAGAAAACATAACTATAGCAGCAATAAGCATACAAGAGTTAAATTACAAGGAACCCAAGTTTCGAATCCTAGAAGCCCAAGTGAAAGAAATTAGGGTACATCCATACTACCAAGTACTAGACAGTCCTGAAACTCAAAACTCAGGAACATATTCATGGATATGGAAAGATGTTCATGACATATGGAAATAGTAA